GAAGTTTGTGTTTCTTTAGCTTGACAGTCAGTGTTCTTTTTTTTTGCCAGTTTCCCACCCTACTGTTGGCATATGCAGTAACATTTTTCGAGATCATGGATTTCCAATGCTAAAAGGCATGTGCACCCAAGGTTACCACAATGCAATCACACAACTGTTCCAAGAGAAGGCTTTCAGATAGAGACATTTAAATGATGCTTCAAAAATAGAGTTCATAAGTGATTTTTAATTCCTAGCAGTTGTTACTCACTCTTCTTTCCTTTAGAAGAGCATTTATTCTATTTCACTGTGATGGGCAATATGATTTGCAGCTTCACTGCAGCTCCACTGTGAAGGCAGATGAACTGCCATGAAACGGACAATGAGAAGCAGACAGGACGCACACAGGCGCAGGGAGGACAGAACAAAGAATCACAGGGAGTGGGGAAAAATAAACTATATAATAGCTGCTGCTTGAGAACACTAGCTGGAACAAACAGGGAGGCCACCAACTATCATTACAAGCGCATGTTTCTTTAGCAGTTGCAAGGAGAATTGCACACAAGAGGGGGCAGGGGATCTGCTATTAATCATATTATATTCATTGTTCCCTTGATGCTGCTGGCAATGCTTCAGGAGACTCCCTCAATTCCCAGATAAAACTGCAGCGAGAACAGCAGTGCTCCAAGAACAGCCCACACTGAACCTTCACAATCTTGTCCTACTATGCTAACACTGCTGTAAACTGAACACTTTTTAACCACTGAACTGCTTATTGAACTTAATTTTTAAAAAATCCAAATCATAGCAGTTGAGGGTTCCTCCCCACTCAAATCTCTCATTAGGAAAATGAACACACTGTATAAATCTGATGAAACTATTTGCAAGAACAAGCCACTAGAGAGGTGAAAACATCAGCCTGAAGGAGTCAGGAATCAAGTTTCTTTGTTGAGGAAGAGTTTTGAATGTTATCTCTAAGTAAGGTGCTGAGTGACTCCTTGATTAAGTGGCACTTAACATTCAGTAAGTTTAATGTTCCAGCAAGAACAGCAGGCCGATACCTGTGCCTGGGAGTGGGGGAGGGAGAAAATGGCAGCTGATGCAGTGAAGTAACCCAAGTCAGCTATTCTTTTGTCAGTGAAAAGGCAGACATGTTTAAGTGGAAAGAAACATGGATTAACTAAATCTCGTATTCATACTTCATTGAAAACGTAATGCTGCTTTAATTTGTCTGGTTTGGCAAAGCTACAGAGGGAAGGTGGATTTTCTCGACCACAGATATTTTTGATTTTTTTTGTGTGACAAACTCTGCATAGTATGAAAGTGACACACACTCTAATTAGGTCCAGAATTTGTTAAGAGTCTCCCTACCTAAATAAAAATTCCTAACATTGGCTACCATGGGCCTCTGACACTTTGCAGGTTGGCAATGCAGTTCAGCTGGCACTACTTGTCTCCCAGACGGAACAAATACATTCTTTTGTTTAAGGAAGACACAAAAGAACAGAAAAACAGTTACAGTTGGGTAAACATGTATTTAACTAACACACCAACTTATGACCTAAGTAGTAATAGTGAGACATTTCTACTTCGGATCTCAGTAAGGAGAAACCAATTCAATCTTCAAAAAAACCCAACACGTTTATTAAGCAGCAGAGCTCACTGCAGCCAGCATGCCTGATGACTCATCCTCCCTTCTCCACTTTCTAATTAGCCGTGATAGTCAGCATCAATTTGATGGTTGTTTTTTGTTGTTGGGTTGGGTTTTTTTAACCACACAAAAACCATCTTGGAAGTCGAAAAATGGACTCCTACTTGTTTACTAATCAGAGTTTTAGAAGATAGCTGGCACTAGCAGCTAAGACATATTCCAGCTTTACCGTTAGCTGGACACGCAAACTACTTGCTTGTGCTTGTCCTCCCCCTCCCTTGGAGGGGCTGCATGCGGCACGGCACGATCACAGAGAATAAATACAGGAAAAGGGGGGAAAAAAAGCCCTCTGCTCTTGGCAAGGGGAAGGCGTTCCACAAGAACTGCTACAGGGTCAAAAGTTTACCGTGGTTTCAATTTCACCTTTTCGCAACCAATGAGAGCGCGGCGGCTCCAGACAGAACCGCGGGCGGCAGCGCGGCCCTTAACTCCTTGCGGCCCGGCCCGGCCCGGCCCCGCCGCGGGGGCAGCCGGCGAGGCTGGCCACCGGTCCGAGCGGAGCGGAGGAGGCAGGCTGAGGCAGAAAAGGCCCTCTCCGCTCGTCTCCTCCCCTCCGCTTCGGGCAACGTACGCAGCTGAGCGTCCGGCAGCCTCCTGCGAGTTGAGCGTTTCTTTTAGCATGGAAATGAGAGGGAGCAGGAGCTGTGCAGCAGCAGTACGCCACTGAGTCAGAAGTTAGGAGCTGCAGAAGTGGGTCCCCTTACCCTCAGCGCAGCTGAAAACCAGGTCAGTAATCTAAGGGATAGGACTGATACTAGGCAGTATCAAAGCAGCACTGAACTATGGAGCGGTAAGTGGCAGCAGCGAGATAGTGCTGGCAAACAGGAAAGCCTGACCTTGCAAAAGGGGAGGGAAGGAGGGAGAACACCAGGACAGAATTGGCGGAAAGGATTCCGAATGCGCAGTCCAGAGCTGCAGAGATTTAGTTTGCTTCTTGTCAAACGAGGAATGGGCCTTGCCCTGGCATAAGGCTGGGCAGCCCAAGGAGTACTGCTGCCCACTGTCCAATCCCCACAGTGCCATTATACTCTGCTTCAACGTGTTGATTTCAAAACAAGTCATCCTCCATCTACTCCAAGAAGGACGGACAGGGAAGTTGTGGCTTTTGTGTACAAAAAGGGTCAGCTCTTCACAGTTTTGCCTAGGAAAACAAGTAATACCTAGCCACAGAAGTACAAAACGGCCTGGACGCAAGACAGTTGTAATAGATTGTCTTGCTTTGGCCCAGAAAAAGAAAATGCATCTTCATCTCCACTCATTTTAAGATTACAGAACTAGAAGAAGAACAGAGAACAGGTTTCTTGTTCCCCTGTATGCTTCTGTTCCGTATCAATGGTTCCAGGTTCTGTCATCTCCTCATCAGTAGTTCTGGTTTAAAATTTTAATGAAGAGAATTACGACACAAGCTTTCCAGAGTCAAAATATGATCACTAGCAATGTAGTTTCATCTCAGGGACTACTGATTCGGTGAATCAGTCCATGGTGGGGTATCCCAAAATCCATGCTAGGACCAGTTTTATTCTCTAGGAGATTGATGAAAATACTGATGACAGCAAATACTGAATGACAGAATCTGTGATTGTGTTTGCAGTCCACTTGATCTTGGAAAGTCAGTGTCAACTACACTTAAGCACAGAGAGCAACAGATTTATCACCTCTTCATTGGCTTTGCAGACTACAAGGAAAGAGGACTAAAGCACTTTTAAGTAAAGATGTGGATGAAGAGTTCTCAGTTTGGTACAATAACAGACAACATGAAGCAGCATGAAGAGAAGTGTATAATGCATGTAGTTAAGGCAAATTCAGTAGCAAAGGAATCTAAGAGTATGTTCAACATAGCAGAAAGGGGTAGGGTTACACAGAGAGCTTTAATTGAATGATTAGCAACTCTCACTTGATACCAGGTAGAATAGGCAAGTCATTGCATATATTTGCAAGGTAAACAACATGGAATTAAACCATTCCAAAACAGGCAGCAGTCCTCAAGAAACACTTCAGAACATGTATGTTAGCATACTCAGATCTCCAGCACACTGCAGAAAGAACAAGAGTCTGAATATAATTGTGAAGGGGTAAAATGAGTAAATACGCCATCAACATGCAGGAGGCGTTTATGCTGAAGATTTCAGTTAAAGTAGAACTCAGTTTTCCAAACCCTAAAACCAACCAGATAGTAGATTCTTCAAGATAATGCACATGACCACCTAAGGGGAAAAGAAACATTAGTCAGTTGGCAGCTATTACTAATTCTCCAGAAAGATGCAGTTTGAAAATTGGTACATTATCTTACCCCAGAACCTTAAAGGCTTTCACAGCACTTTGTAATGATGAAAGATACTCTGGCCGTGGCCCTCTGTATATGTCCCGAGAAAGGATGAAGACAGATACTCTTACAAACAGCTATGGCAGCTGAAAATACTGCCAACAATCTTCTTCTTGTAACTCAATTCACAAAATAGTTTTAGGCAAGAAGATAATAATGAAAAACTCTTAAAACCTGCTTCAGAAATAGTCAACCACACAATTTAAGAGCAGCCAATGAAAAATAATTTCCAGATGGTGGGCAAGGTCAAACAGTGATTTCTTCAACAGGCACAGGTAGATTCCTTTCTCAACCTATGCAAATAGGCATAGCAGCTCAATGCTACTATGTGGTTAAGTTTAATGCCTTGCTAACAAGATGCAGTAAGTGATTAAAATACATCAAGTCAGAAAGTTAAGACATTGTGAGAATCTTAGCTGATTGAGATCATGCCCTACTACCAGGTTTTTCTACTCTAGTTCAAAAATGGTAAGACACCAATGAAAATGCTAACAAATAATGCTGTATTTTCATAGTTTAGCTAGGCTAAAATACAGTTTTGCCAATAGTAATTTAAGACTTAACTACATATATAAAAACCTATTTTCCTCTCAGTAAAAAGAGCAATTTTGTTTTGTTGTTTTACCTTCTCTAAATACCATGTCATTTTAGAGAAATTCGTTTAAATTGAGATATCATAAATAAATTCCCTTTTTATAAGATGGCCTCATTTTAAAAGAAAATGGATGCTATAAAATTTTACATCAAGTCAGCATGTTACCAAGAAGCTTTTCTGTGTGTTCTGAATTTGATTAATACAAGCCAAGGTCACTTCCTGAAAGATGCCTACCACTGCAGCTGCAAGCAAACTAGACTCCTCTGAGCTCAAAAGCTGGGGGATGGGAAGACGACACTAGCAATTTCTAACACTGTCTCCAAAAATACACTAATTGCAAAACTTGAGTAATATTTAGAAGTGTTTACTAGATTACCACGTAAGTAACCTACTGACTAAGGTGAGTCTGTATAATCATGTTTTCAAGCAGAAAAGATTCACAATGATGCACCAGCACGTCTGCAAAAAAAAAGTAATTCTGAGGACCCTTTATTAAACTTTATGCAATTCTCTTTAAAATTTCCTAATTTTTTTTTTTTTTTTTTTTAACGATGTATGTTTTATTATGCAGCTCATGAAGCTAATAGGAGACTGCCCTTGAATTAACAGCATGTCTCAGTCCTCCTGAGACTGTGAGGCTCCACCCAATCTACACTGTGTCCTATTCTGAAGCCATTTAGGAAAAATACTTTAGGAAAGCATGCAAGCTCTTTCCAGAAGTCTGCAGCATGCATTTTTCCAGTTTCTGAAGACTATACCTAGTGTTTACAAACACAATTAGAAATTAGCTGTGTTCACCTGTAATTTTAAAAATATTTCAAAAGTTATTTTAAAAACATGTCACATTTGCATTATGCATGAGGCCAAACAGATGTAGTTTCTTCCATTCCCAGACACAGTTAAAGCTTACAGGTCCTGAAAAAAAGACCCATACCAAACAAAAGAGTATTTTTTGCTTTTTGTGTGTACAAATAAAAAGATTCTACAATTTGGAGTACCAAACAGGAGGGGAACAGATTGCTGAAAAACATTTAAAACCACACACCAACAGACATTTCTACAAGGGCATCTGTTAGTCTAAGAAAGGGGCCCCAGTGACTTTATTTATGAACACACACACACACTCTCAATTTAATAAACTTCATCTTTAAAACAGCCTTGATACACCCAACATTGCAACTAAAGTTTCACACCAGGCTAAAATTAGGAGGATCTACTAAATGAAAGTTAATTTTGACAAACTGGTGCACTAAAAGGAAAAGGACATTGCTGGTTTCGGGTGGGCATCTTTGCCTGAAATAGAAAAATACACTAAAGCATATCATTACCTATGCAGGCACAGCTACATCTGTGGTTAAGGATGCCTAACATTTTCCATTACAAAAGCCTGTTCTAATTGTTTAATGACTGTCTCTCACACACCCCTCAGAACTACTTTTTGTGGAAGACTTGCATAAAATTGGTTCAGACACTTAAAAACAGAGTGGAGAATTCAACTGAAGAAAATACAACCTTCTATTCAGTCCAGGAAGTTAAAGCTTTAGAACAGAAACTGATCAAATGCTCGAACAAGCTAAACTTCCATCTTGCTGCTCCAATGAAGGTACCTGTACAGACGGTAAGTGCCTTCAAAGTCTTTGAACATGCTCAGTTTTGTTTTAAACCACTTGCCAAGACCCTCAAGTATTTTATCTAACCAAGGTAGCTTTGTCACTGCACACCTCCTCCTTGCTGACAGGATAGAACATGCTTTATCACTGCATTATAAAGAGCAAGAGCAGCTCCTTTATAAACCTGCCAGCTACGAAGCAGTTAAAGTGTCTGGCAGCACAGTAGCTAGTGAACAGGGACATTTTTCTAGGTTATACTGCCCCACCCATACACAGCATCCACAAAACATGAGGCAGCAGGAGGATCAAGGGCTTAGCAAAGGCCACCCTTCTGCCCCCCCCAGTTCAAGATCTCCGTTGAAACCGCGGATGGAGGTCTCAGCCAGCTGTGGTAAGACTATGCTTCTGCCCCTCTAGCGGCTAGCCCATGTAGAAAAGCACACTCAATCCAGTGACCAAAGTGGTGTGGATCTGCTCTGTGGGATTCCAGATGACAACCTTGCTGGCAAACAGAGCAGAAATTTCCTTGGCGAATTATACTATTTTTCCATATGCTTTTTAAAGGCATAAGAAAAGTTAGACTGAAAATACTGAGGTTGTGAGGTCATAAAAAAAAAACCAAACAAACTTTAAAACAGCATTGTCAACTCCAGCTCTCAACACTTCTTCCTTTAACCCTTACTTTGCATACTTAAGCACATTGCTGTGTAACTGCTTATTAGACTCTGTGTGGGAATGGCACCCATCAGCTCACAGAAAAGACTACTATAGACTTATGTCTGTTTTATCATCTCCAAAGTGCATTACTATTTCAGCAACCATGTTTGCTTTACTATACAGTGATAGATAATGGCTTCATAAATGGAGAACTGAAGTCTGTCAAGGACCTGTAACCTAACTTGGCCTTTGCCCAACATGGGTACATAGGGAGTTTCGGTGACATTCAAATTAGGACACAAGGCTTTTTTTCCTATTAAGAGTAAACAACGCTGATACATACTGCCTTGATTATGACAGATCACAACTTCCGATTAAGAATATTAATCCAGAGCAGACTTTAAACTGGCATTTAAATCACTGATTTAACTGTTGGAAATATTTACACCCATCAATAAGGGCACACGAGTGGCAGAGAAATATAGTCCATAAATCACATTGACTTGCCTTAGGCACATTTTGCTAGTCAGCAGATGCAGTACTTACAGACATTTATTCATGTGTCTGCACAATAACTAAGCTATAGAATTAATGTCAGTAAATATATTATTTTACACTGTAAAACAACTGATTTTAATCAAAGCTCCAGATACATTACCATTTTTAAAACGTAGATTCATATTCTGAAAAAGTGTTTCAGGGCAGGGGGGAAGGCAGCTATCCATTAGGGGTTTCCATATTACGTATGCACAGACTCACACAAACTGGCTTCAATAGGATCTAAATACCTGGTGTGTTGGAGTGCTTTTGAGAATTCTACTTAGTATCTCCTTTCATCAGGCTACTAAAATAGATTTATTTTTTTTTTAATTTATTGGAACACACATCCCCTTTGCTTTTAAAATTAGATCTTGTTACCCTCTGATCTAATAATAATAAAAGGCCTGTTAATGAAGTTTCCTGAGTTTTTGGCATAATTAGACTCTCAAATTTGAGAGTACAAGAGTGACTGAAGAAAGGAAAACAAAACAGTTTAAGTTTTCCATGCATAGTATCAGTGCTTATATACGTTTACTTCATTGTAAGGAGTAAGTACAGCTACTTGATACAAAGGTGACATTTCTAAAACACAATTTGACCTCAAAATATGGAAACGTTCCTAGCTCAACGCTGTAATTAAAATCTGATTGAGTGTACACAGGTACACTTAGTATGGCCGCAAGAGGTTCATTTAGTTCAACACAAATGCTTACTGTTCAAAATTTGAAGTGACAGTTGTCTATCTATAGTATACCAATAAATCTGAGCATTTCATTAGTTAAAAATCCCCTTTCCTCTGTTTTTTTCATATACTTAAGTATATTTCATATTCATAGTGACCAAAGCATAGCGGAATACCTTCAGCTAAACTGCAAAATAAAGGCAGAACAGAATCACTCCCAAATTTGGTTAATTTGCCTCTCCACAGTAGTCAGGTTATCTCGTTATATTTCAAATGTTGCCCATCCACTGTGTACTAATGGTTATGACACAGAACATCTGCTAAAATTTATTGCACAAAACTGAAAGCTGTAATGTTATTTTGCATGTAGCTAGTAGACTCAAATCTTAGCTTTCAGGTGTCAATTACTTAAAAATTAAGCTAAAATGGAGGAGGATAAAACCCCAAAGGTTGGTGTCTTTGTTCAATGCTATACAAAACAGAAATAGTACCTAGAGAGATATTATAGACTGGAGAGTCATAGAGCCTCCTCTGAGGCCTACAACAAAGGGGCAAGAGGCAAGTTTTACTACCTGCAACAAGTTAAATTTCAGTTTTCAAATAGTGATTGAACGTAGGAACCAGTTCCAGCCAGCCTATGGAATCTCTATCCTAAGCGACCTTCAAAACTTGACTGAGCAAAACCCTGACCAACCAGGTCTAACTTTGTTTGCAGTTTGGATTGATGCTAGCATCATTTCTCTATGATTTTGAGTAACACACTGTCATCAGAGAATTATGTATGGTAGCACAATTATAAACTGGTACCATTATAACAATGGGCTACTAAGACAAGAGAACGCTTTACAATTGATCCTACTTTGTCTTACTTTTAGGATGTATTACCACATTCCTTCTGGTACAGATTTAAGCAGGTATGTTTTATTAATCTCATGTATGCTTTACATTTTGCATACATCCATTAATACTCCCATCTTTAATGGATACTAAGTATGGATTCCTGACCACAACATTAATTCCTACCATCAAGGATTTTTATTTTCTTCCATTTATGAGAAAAAGCAGCATGCTTTTGACTAAGGCTCTCAATGCCCTCTGGATTATTTTTTTTGTCCAAACTTTTCTATTCTTTACAAAGAATTTCCATTGCAAAAAAATCTTATGCTTCTAGCTTTTTTAATGTTCTATTAAAGAAGCAATGCCTTCAGTTTCATTAAAAAGACATTTTCCAACAGATCTCACACTAAACTCCCTACGATTCCTGCAGCAGGCAGAAAATCAGTTCTGCTCATGGAAGTTTTTATACAAATGGTACTTCTCAAATACTGACGTTTATCTGCAGAACTCTCCAAAATGATACTACCACCATTAGCATAGAAATTCCAAGTAATTTTAGGAAGATTTGCAGCCATTCTGGAAGTTAGTATAAGTCGTCAGTGACTGCCAAAAACAGAAGAAGGGATCACATCCTTCCTTTCAAGTGCCAAAAAGTTTTGTAATGTTTTGTTTCAGATCCAGTCTCTTCCTTGTTTGTAGATAAATGGCTAAGTAGTTGTGTAGTTTCATCACATTAGGAAGCAATTTTATGTATTTTTATATAGTGCACTAGAGGAAACACCAGGATAGAGATGTTGAATTCTATTATTACTTTTTCTTATGTGCATTTTATCTTTAGTTCCCATACAAGTAGACCGACCAATTTGTATCATACATTCAATAAAACCCTGAGCCGGGGAGCCATTGTTTGAGCATTTGTCTGCCAATGAGATAACCAAGATGCATCCACCACAATTTAAACAACTCATGTTCTCTTTTACCAGACCTCCAGATCATTCTGCAGTTTAATTCAAAACTTAACTTGATGCTAAGCTTTAAAGTTAGTATTCAGCCACACCTCTGCACTGTGAGGTTTTTATATTAGCATCTGGTAAGCATATCAAACATGGTAACTAACTGATTAGCACCAGTCATGCATTTATGTCATACAACTGGAGTATATCAACTATACAGCATGGTTTATTCAATGTGTTTTCTTGTCAGTGAACACACACTGCATTTGTCCAGTTAAGTGACTTTTTATTACAGTACACCACACTTACACAGAACTTGTAAAAGAAAGGAGAGTTATGTTTAGGTACACTGCAGTCAGAATCTTATATTCTTGGGCCCTGTCAAAATTATTAGGAGAAAAGTTACTAATATTGTCTCTAGGCACAGCATAGCTTTAATGTTCTCTTTTTTTAAAGCCCGCTAAGCATTTTTAGTGTACCTAATAGTCCCTTAAAAGTTCAGAAAGCTACAAAACCTTACCTACACTTGAGTTTTCACCAGTAGGAAGCTTACTTTGTTAGATTCTTATATAGATGAAGCCTATAAATAACAGTGTACATACAATAACAGAATAAACACAGCATACCATGGAGGGAACAAAAGAAAAAAGCATACAAAACTTAAGTCTGATGTCATTAATTCTGTCTTACAGAATAAAAATGCTGTGATTTAGGTTTTTTCATTGCAAGTAGATTTATGACAACAATATGCTTAGACACATGTGTCCATCCAGTCAAGAGCAAAAGTTATTTATCCCTTCTCTCTACCACATACTATTTACCTCAGTGTGTCATCTGTCTGCAAATCATTGCTTAGGAAGTGTAACATTTTAATGAGCAGAGCTATATGAAACAAAACACCAACTCTTCTGTGCTTTGAGGAGATCATTCTCCAAAGGTTTTCCTTCCACTATCTCCTTTCATTTTCTTCATTTTGCTTTAACCTTACCTTATTTTAACCAAGCCAACTCACTTGAATTTTATTTCAGGGCACCTGCTAAACTGCAGAGCAAAGAGGTTGGTCTTATCACAAAAGGTTACTCTGAAGGAGGTACTTCCTTTCTTGAGACCAAAATCCCACTGAATGGTATGTCCAGACAAGTTATCAGTTTTACTACTCTCAAGCAACAGGTATAGAGCTTGACACATTAATCTATTTGAGTATTGAAGGCTATGTATTTGAGTACTGAAGTTATGATGAAAAAACCCAACCAAACAAAACCCAGCAGTGATTAGCATCATATCCACTCTGGGCCCAAAGCAGCTTTAGCTAAGAAATCCTGTTTCATCACCATTGTTTCAAAAGAACTGTTCTGAGCAAAGTATTCACATCATTGGTTACTTCAGAAAGAAGAAAACTCTAGTATCAGTGATAAAAAGAATTAAAACCTAAAGGCAGATATATACACAGATGCATGCTACCACTCCATCCCACAACTTTTAAGAGCAACATCCTTTAATGGCCCAAGTATCCCCCAAAAGCCTATTAGAATTAGATACTACCATACATGCTGAGGCCTGGTCATACCACACATTTCCTCAAGTTTAAGGGAGGTGGAGGAGAGCAAACTATACACAATATTAATACAGAACATAAGAAAATACCTTTATTTAAGTGAATTGAAATTATTTTCTCCCTTTTCCTAACCCTGTAAATATCAATATTTTCTTTGGATCAGTTCTCATAAGTCAAAGTAGTCCTGGACAATTAAGTCAAACAGAAGACTTACCTAGCACTGTGTTCTCTCTCCAACAGAAGCCAGTAGAAATGCCTAGAAAGAAAAAGGTAGGCATATGAATGTGTTTCAGCACACTCCCGAACTTCACAATCTACAGCTCTGGAATTTCCTGGTTCAAAAAGACTGAGTTTCCCAGCAGCTGGATTTCTCTTCTATATAAATTTCTTTTTGAACCCATGAAAATTAATACAGCTAAAATAGTCTGTGGTGATCAGTTCTGTAGTTAAGCTCTACACTGTGTGAAAGTATCAGGTTTTTATTTTTAACTCTGCCATCTGATAATAAGGAGGAGGAGAATAAATAATGAAATGACTGAAGAGGAAAACACTTTCTTCCTGTTGATTTTCCATGACACTTGTGGTTATTTTGTATAGATCCGCCTTGTACTCTCAAGCCAAAAAAAAAAGAAAAGCAGAGAAGTAGAAGTCCTGGCAAATGCTGTTTCTCATAAAAAAATTTTAGCTTTGATCTCTTAAAAAAAAAAAAAAGAGAAAGATAAAGTCCATTGTACACTTTTGATACAGCATAGACCACAATTACTTATACTCAAGAGGAAGGCATAACACGAGTGAATGATAATATGTTATTTTCAATTTTGTATTCTTTTTCTTCACTGATAACTCACAACACTCAGCCTTTTGAACACTGCTTAGCACTGGTCTGTCATTTTGACAGAATAATTAGTTCGGAGTTGTTTTTTCCTACTGAGCAGGAGAAAATTGGGCAAAAATCTATTGGTTATAGCACGCCTGCTTCTCCCTTAAGTACATCACTAGGCATAAAGACAAAAGCATCACTTGGAATAAGGACAAGTCTCCCAAATCAAGTGCTAGGCATACATACAGCCACTCACCCAGAAGAGAAAGTTCCCTTAAATCACCATCGTTTCTTCTTCAATGACCACTCTGACAGTGACTGTAATTATTACCTGTAGTTAAAATCTACATTCTTAGAGTACAAGAATAAAAGATCAGAGGTAGGCAAGCCACTATTAGGACCTACTCCCAGAACAAGAAGTATTGGAGAGAGATGTTTTCTTTAAAAGTTTACCAAATCTTCATGTAATAAGCTTTGCAGAATTGTTTTAGTCAAGATCAATCTTATATCTATAAAGTAATTAGCAAACTTAGCAGTTAGGTCAATAAATGAATTTACAATAAGCAGAAGAAAGTTCTATGTAAAACCAAGCTCAAAGAATACTGGAAACTTCTGTAAGGCTGTAGTAACAAACTCCATATAGCGGAATATCTGATCTGCTGTACTTGCTTTATCCAAAGCCCAAGTAAACAAAACAAGTTCGATTTAGGCTTTGACAATAAACACATTTCAGTTGTCTTATGTCTTCAGCAATATATTTTGCCTTTAGGAAAAACAAAAAAACAAACACCACACACACACACCCCCCAAACAAAAACAAGTCTTAGTAAGACTTCAAAATCCTATCTCCAAGCTTGAACTTTGCATCAAATTTGTAAAGTAACATTTAGATAAGATATCCAAAATGTAAACAAAGCAATGACAGCAGCTTTATTTCACAATACACAGTTTATTTCAATACTTTTAATCAGTGAGAAACCAACTAAACAATACACAATTCATAATACAATCCTTGTAAAAGCTGGAAAAGATATTAAGGTTCATGTCAAGTTCAACATGCTCTATTTTTAACTTTAGTCAAGTCCCTTCTCATTAGCAGTAACTTAATATTTGAGAAAGGATTAGGAGCAGCTAGGAAGTTAGTTTGATATAGAAATGAATTTAAATAATAAATTTTTAGCCCCCAAAATAATTCAGTTAAAGTTAATTAGACCTAGCCAACTAATGTAATCTCCCATTGTCACAGTATACCAAATCAAGGCTTACAGACTGCTTTAGAAAGTAGTAATTAATTGCTTGCTATTATTTTTTCATAATACATAAGTTTCATTCTAAAATTAAAATAAAAATTCTGGACTCCCCCTTTCCTTTAACTCACAGAGAAATGTAGTCTTCACATCCACATAGTTTGACATTAATGGAACAATTCCTTTAGCATAGTTTTTTAATAGTAAAATTTAGGACACTGCTGTAAGACCTGCTGAAGATACTTCTTAAAGCATTTCACAAGATCAAACCAACCCTGACAATCTCATGATTGACTTACTAAGAAAAAAAGCAAAGAGTTTACACAATAGTGAATGGAAAGAAAGACAATGCCTTTGAAAACAAGCCCAATACTTCTGCATTTCAAGGATGCTAACAAATAGGGAAAAGGCATGAGCATCTGCTTGTCTTCAAGAGATAACAAACTGGTTTTGAGCACTTCCATATATGTGAGCACCCATATCACATGATAGTTAGCCTTGTTTAGAGGCCAGAAATCTTTCAGGAAGTCTGGGGCATAGGAACTACCTGTTTTTCCTAGAGTTAGTGTTAGCACTAGCAGAGACCATGACACATTTGTATGCATATGGCAGATATTAAAATCTTTCAGATGACTACTAGCAAAACAGTAAATTAGTGGCCATCTCCATATTATTTTACTGCATGTAAGTAATAACTTACTTTCTCTGAGAGGAGAGACTAACTTCTGCCAGTTCTGACATCAGTAACTTCTAGTCTGTCGTGATAAACTGTAACTAATACAGAACTTAACATTTCCAAGATGACAGTAATATCTTTGTAGCTAGAGCAATAGGAAAGTGTTGTGGTAAACTTTTGCCTGGAGACAGTTTAGTCACGCCTGGATATATGGCAGCAAAACCAAGATAAACAAATTATCCCAAACAGAAAACAACCAAAACATCTTAATTCTAAAAGCTGTATTTTCTGCTTATCTAAAATTATTAAAGCACTTCAGTATTCTGTGTTTTATCTGACTCTTGATCTGTGCTTTGTCCTTCTGTTTCTCTAGCTTTTTGACAAACAGAGATACAATCTAGGACTGCAAGCACTGAGTGCATGGAGTGAAGCAGATTCAAGATAATGCCACATTCTAGCAGACTTCTTGCACTTAGAATGAGGAAAGAACTGCTAAGATAGCTGCCAATGAAGAAATTTAAGTTGATTAGAAATGCAGGTAAAGAGCTTTACACCTTAGGCCTGTTCCAGACTTCCTTCAGAAAAAGTGCCAGTGGTACAATTTTTCTGGAAAACTAGCCATTTTGACTGAATCTACTTGGTGTAACCTCTCATGAGAGTTAATAAAGTTTTAATATTAAAGCGGCTTCATCCGTTCTGCAAAACATGTTTACAATATTGTTTTATGTAACAAATCTTAATGTAAATTTCTCCAGCTACATAATTTCAGCTATAAACTAACTGATGGTGGCCAATCTTGTATTAAGAACTTACGCAATTGCTTAATTGTGCCCCATGCCCCCTGAGGTTCTTGAAAGTAATACTGAAATGCATGAGGACTTCCTATGCAAGTATACAGAGAGTCAGAACAGTTTCTGAAATCCCCAGTTTAGAGGCGAGGCCTTTAATTTCACATGAATATGCTAAAAATGCTACTTTAATATACCAGGCAAGTTAGAACAAGCCACTTTTCAGCTGTATTCTTTTGTGGTGTTTTTGTGGGTGGGGTTCTGTTTTTGTTTTAGACTAACCAATAGCCCTAGCTGTATCCTTGTTTCAACTGATGTAAAGTCTCTCCAGGGCTGTTAGTTACTTATTTTTTTCCACTGTTGATACTATGGAGCCAGTGTAACTCTAGAAGAGAAACATTCCATTTCATGCACAGGTTTTTTTGTTGGCAGGGTGGGTTTTTGTTGTTTTTAACAATAACAGTACATTAAAATCTTTTCTAAATGAATCAATCTGTGGTGAAGTGCCTTACTAACTTTATTCGGGGAGGAAGAAAAGCCTGGAAGATTTGCAAGTTTTTTATTATTCCAGAAAAAACAAGTCTAGACTGGATTGGAATTACTAAATAGCAAGGCTTCGTAATAGAAGAAACTTTCAAGGGAGTCAGTATCACTATAGGAAAGTATCCAACCTTTTGTTCAAAATATTACATTAGAAAGTTGAAACAGACTTGCTAACTGCAAAGAAAAAACTTTCAAAGTGGCTGAAGCAATTAATGTAGCTAAACTTGAGTCTATTTTGGCTACAGCCAGTATATATACTTAGAATAAAACATTGCCACTGTCTAGGATCTTAGCTCACCTGCTTTTGTTAAAAGATATCAACTAGCTACATCCTCAAGAAATCTGTAACAGCTGTGGAAGATCAGACTGTTTCTCCCATGAACTCTTGGGGAGTTCTTAAATAGGAATAATATACTGTAAAATACCATCAAAAACGCAGGTGTAAGTCTGACCAACAAGTCTAGCCTGTTTACTTTCAGAAAACCCTCTTGAGTGCACATGAAGTGAAATACAAATCTGACTTTTCTCCTAAGCAGATAATAACATCCACTCTACAATGGTTTCTTTTAATGAAATTTGCGTGAATATGCTTTAGGTAGCTTTGAAGTTACCTTTTCCAGCAGTGAGTGTAGCCAAGACATTGCATTCAGCAAGAATTCAGTTTGCAATCTAGATAAACTTAACCACGGAGCTCAGCACAGGCTCACAGACCAGTGCAACAAAATAGCAATCCTGTGGTGGCACAGCTAGAGGACTGCAATGACAGCTTTGAGGTGATAAGCCTGTAGCTCAGACTGCAAGCACGCCCCTAGTAATTAGTGATGCAGATACCAGCACTGTGACTCAAATCATCTCCCAGTAAATACTTCCCTATGTGCAATTTCTTAGCTGCCTATGTAAGGCTGTTTATTTTGTAAACAAGGAAGTGCCTGTATATGTCGCTACTTCATATCATGTGGAAATGACTTGTGTATCATGCCCTGGAAACCTCTGTTCTGTGGCCCAGGTAAAAATAGTTCTCTTGCTATAGCCTCACACTATAGCAATGGATACACTAGTATTTTCATGCTATAGTGTGTGTTAAAATTTGAACAGACTGCTTGCTTTGGAGAAAAAGATACAGACACTTAACACGAATGCTTCTTAAAGACCAACCTTAATAAGGCAGAGATTTTTCTTAAC